TTTGCTAACATTTTACCTTTGCAGTGGGACAGCAGCAGAAAGCAGCTGGTGGGAGTCTGACTCCTCTGTCAGGTGTCAATTAAGCGCAGGGATCTCGGGAACAAGGGATATCTCAATCACTATTGCACTCAGATTTGATACAATAACCGAAATTGTATCTTACGACTTCCCTTCATTGACAGGGACTTTCTACACTTATTATTCCTTTCCACTGGCTCTTGCTGGCCAAACTGCAACAATCTTTATTGGGCGACCTAATGCTCCCACCTTAGGTCAAGGGCCGAAAGACGGATATGTTGTTGCTGTTGGAAACAACTTCGGTCGTTCGGATTATACTGGGCGGTTGCGTATCGGAGAAACCGCGACGCGCTCAACTTTTTGGCAGAGTGTGTCCAATGCCCTCTGCCAAGCTCCAAGGGGCAAGGGATTTCAGCTCACTTTACTGATGACCACTGGAAATCGTTTGGGTTTGATTTCCCAGGCAGTTTCTTATGATTCAGGTGCGGTGATTGGATCTACTACTCCCAATGTCCCTACGACAGGTTCAATAAGTGTTACTGTACTGGGCACAAGTTTTGGCTTGGAAGAGCCTACGATCACCACGAGAATGGGAGTCACCGCGTCAGAAGGCACCATTTGGTTGTCCGACTCTACTTTACAATCCAAGTCACCTGCAGGAGTTCATTTACTGGTAACCAACAAGGCAAAAATAGACCGAGACAGTACCATTGTTGTCACAGTCAAGGAATATACATTTTCAACTGCCACAACTGCATTTTCATTTGACAGCATAGCTTTGATTTCTTGTAAATCTGTCTGCAATTCTCTTACCACAGTCCGAGATTTTGGAAGAGTTTCATATGAACTTTTCAACATCAGCTGCAGCGGCCTTGGAACAGCTGCATACAGCCCCAGAGGAGAAATTGGATTCTCGACCCAACCTCGCACAATATGGAATTCTGATAATGCTGTTGCAGGCCTTTCTCCTGCATTTGCCAACTCAAAAAAGCAAGATTCTACTATATCGATTACTCTAGGCTTGATTGCGGGTACTTTGACCACCGCTTTCACATTTGATTCCGGGTCAATCAGTTCTTTCAAGAATTTTAACAGCGCTCCCAAAGGGAGTTCTTTAAGTTCAATTGCAGGCAGTGGCTTTGGAGTGGCAGCAAGCAGCTTATCCATTCTGCTCGGAGGCACTAAAACAGCCCGCACATTCTGGAAATCTGATTCTTTCGTTTACGTCCGAACTTCAGCGGGAGTTCTTTCTTCAACGTCAGTTACTTTGTCGGTTGCTCTTGTTACAGAAACTACAACAGAATCGGTGACTTACGATTCGCCAATTTTAAAGAGGTGGTATTCTGAAAATTTTGCATTTGGTACTTCTCAACGGCCTAGGTGGAGAGCGAATGGTCCTGGAAGTGGCTCTGTGGTTTTGACTCTTTCAGGAGATTCGATCTCGCTAGATGACTACACTCCAGCGGCTGCAGTATCTGCAAGTAATACACGGGCAGAGTCCACGCAGTGGTTGAGCTACACTTCTTTATATGCTCGCACTGTTGCAGGGGTTGGATGGGATGGTACGGTTGTAAATACGATTGGTTTGAAAGTCGGAAGTATCTCACAGTCTTGGACCCATGACAAGCCCACTGTCAGTTCATTGTTACAGGGAAATATTCCAACCTATCTGTATAGCGAGATCACCGCTTATGGTCAGAACTTTGGAGCGTTGCAAGCAGGGTACACAGCATACGCTGAAATCGGATCCACAGCATGTGAGGCATCGGTTTGGGTGTCAAGGACAGCAGTAAGATGCCAAAATGCCGCTGGTACCGCAATTCAAGAAACGGTTTTTGTAAGTGCAGTCCAGCTGGTAAACTCGCTATCGCAAGCAATTTCGTACGATGCAGCATTGCTCTCGACAGTAAACAACTCAAACATTCCTCGAACAAATCCAGGTTTGTTCACGGTTTATGGACTCAATTTCGGAATGTATGATTCCACTCTCAAAGTTAGGTTTGGTTACACAGCCACAGCCTCGCCCAGATGGATCTCAGATTCAGTATTGTACTGTAGAGCGTCAGCAGGAATTCATTCCTCGATACCTGCTCGAATCACAAGTTCGAGACGAAGAGGTACAACCAGTGAGGCAGTTTCATATGAAACTGTAGGGATCAGTTCTGCGCTACCCAAGAATTACATTCATTTCTCAGCAAATGTGTTAACAGTCCTTGGCACCTCCTTTGGTCAATATAATACATCATTGTCATTGCGAATTGGAAGGTCATCATCGGTATTTACAGTTTGGAACTCAGATTCAATGATTTTGTGTAAGACTTCTACATCATTTGGTCGAAGTAAGTCTTTGACCATTACATCAATTCGTGTCGGAAGTCAATCTCAGATCATATCATTCGACCTTGCCTTATTCACCTCCTTTTTTTGGGTATACCGAATTACAGACCAATTTTTCTCGCAGGTTTACACGTTCCAACGATCCAATTTTCCATCGTATCCTGGTGGGCCACAATACGGCCCGTACATTGATTCTAGCATTATGCGTGGTTCGCTGTATTTGGCCGGAGGAGGGTTTTTCCCAATGGAGTTAACTGCTGACACTCGTATTGAAGGTACGAAGTGCGAATCAACCTACTGGCGTTCAAATACTTTGATCATTTGTCGCCCAGCATCAGGTAAGATGCAGTCAAGGTCGGTAATCATCACCATGGATGGGTTTGGGGGAGTCTCGTCTGGGTCGTTTTCGAATGCCATCAGCTATGACAATCCAGTTATATCGCAACTTTTCATGATCTACAATAATGTACAGATGTTTAATGTACCTGCAGCATCTAAACGAAGATCGTCCATTTTTGGGGCAGATTTTTCGCAAGTTGATTCAACTTCTGGACAACGAGCTGGATTTACGGCCTGTGAATTGTCAACGTGGATCAGCTCTACAGCCGTGTCTTGTGGCATAGGAAATGGACAAGCAAATCCAATTTACTCAAATATTTTTGTTGCAACGGTCGGACAAAAAGTGGGAAGTTCGTTCAAGACTTTCTCATATGACAGACATAAATTGTCTTCGATCTGGATGCCAAATTCTCCATCAACAGGCGTTGTACAAGTGCAAGTTTTCGGGAAAAATTTTGGATGGTGGGATCCTACAGCATCTATACGGATTGGTTCAACAGATTGTGAAGAGACTACATGGACATCAGAGTCACGAATGAATTGCCTAATTGCATCAGGAGCAATGGATGCGACTGACATGTCTGTTTCCGTCACGATATTAAGATTCGTATCAACGATTTCAAAACTTTTTTCGTATGACGTTGCAATTGTTTCTTCTATCCAGCGTTCAAACATCCCGTCGCTAGGCGTTTCAGTCAATGCGACGAAGATATTCGCTCGGAATGTCGGAATGAGTAATCTCTCGCCTCGCATCAGATTGCATTCCACGTCATGTCAGGAAACCATTTGGTACAGTGACGTCACTGTAAATGCTCGTTGTTCCGATGGGTATCAAAGCTCACTCAGCCTCGCCTTGTCTATCGCACAACAAATCTCGACCGTGACGGAAAGCGTGTCTTTCGATGCTGCAGTGCTTCAAGGTATTAGTTTTACTTATGTCGATCCCTTGCTTCAGTCACTTTACTTGTTCATTGTTGGTGTGAGCAATTTGCCAACAAAAGGAAGTGTACGAGTCTCCCAATTTGATCCTCTGTTCTCAAATCTCTTGCTGGTCGGATCTAATTTTGGAAGGTATGACAACTCTTTGGACAGCACTGTGGATGGTACCGTTATGTCTGAGACTAAATGGCTGTCTCAAACGCTTGTTCGTTGCAAAGCTTCTGCAGGAATAGGTGCGACGAATTATATATCGATGACTAGCAATGAAGAAGTTTTGACTCGTACTGAAGTTTTCACTTATAACTCTGTTGCACTTTCTTCTGTGCGAATTCAAAATGGACCTACGAGTGGAGTAGACATGATGACTATCACGGGCGATTTCCTTGGAATACAATCTTCGTCTATGTCTGGTAGTTCTGGTCAGACAGCTTTCTCTGTCACCTTGTGGATATCTGATTCGAGTTTAAAATGTTTGCGTTCATTTGGAGTTTTCAAGAGCATCAAGGATAGGATGGTTGTAAGCAGTAGCGTCCGTACAAGCTCATTGTCAACCGCTTTTACATACAACCAACCGGAATTGAGTTCAATTCATCCTACAAACCTCCCAGCTACGGGTTCTGTTTCTGTAACTCTCTTCGGGAGGTCCGTTTCCTCAGCATCTTTTTCTCCTCTTATGAGAATTCACATCTCTTCGTGTGAGACTTCGACATGGTTGAGTGATACGGTCTTGGTATGTCTATCACCTTCCGGGAGGTTGAGGAGCCATGCAACCCCAAATTTGGTGATAAGTCTACATACCAGCGTGAACTCTTTGAGTGGATCATTCTCTCATGATATCCAGTCTATATCTTCTATTCATCCACAGCTCAATATTGCACAAAGTACTGTTACTTTCATGGGATTAAACTTTGGGCAACATTCAATGACTTTGAAGTCGACATTTGGAAACACTGTATGCCAGGTTTCTATGTGGTACTCAGATACCTCTTTGTCCTGTAAGACTCCCATTTCTTCAAAAAGCAGTCAGAGCGTCTATACAAGCGTCGGACTACACGTTTCAACTCTTTCACAAGTGCTCTCTTATTCCACATCAAGTTTGACATCTGTCTTTCCTTCCAATCTAGTCCAGTGTACAACACTTTTCGCAACAGCGAATATCCGTGACAATAGTCCCTTGAGTCGCATTGGTATGACAACTTGTGAGAGCACTCTCTGGTTGTCTTCTACTTCATTGCAAGCCTGCGTAAGCTCATCAGCGAGAAATATACGAACTCAGCAAGTCGTTGCAACCCTATCTTACCGTGTGGAAAGCATAACACAGCTAGTATCATTTGATATCTCTGTGTTGTCTTCTTCACGAAATTCGAATGTACCAGTTACTGGTTCGCAACGAATCATATTTACTGGAGCGGCTTTGGGAGTATCTCGTTCTCTTTCTTCCAGGATTGGGCTTACTCGAGCGGAATCGACGACCTGGGTCTCACATACCTCTATTAGTGTGGTTAGTGCAAGCGGAATTGCATCCTCGAGAATTTTGGGCTTGACGGGGGCAGTGGCTCTAAGTACCTTGACTTCGTCGGTTACTTTTGACATCCCGCAGATCTTGGCACCAGGGTTTGCGTTTACTGCTGGTTCTGTTCTCATAGTGGAACCGGGACACAATTATGTAAACGGAAGTTTCATTGGGGTCGGTGGTGGTGGTTCAGGCCTTCAAGGCGAGATCTTCGTAAACTCAGCTGGATCCATTGTTTCCGCAGGTGAACTTTGAATCTGATACTGTCTGAATTGCCTGCCATCTTCTGAAATTTTTGCAGCTTTCAAGTCCTTTGGCAGCGGATATGCACAAAACCCAGAGGAAATTGTCATCTCTTTCTCTGGAACTAAGATATCACAAACTGGAGCTTTGACCAGATTGCAAATAGTTGCTCCTGGATACGATTATATTTCCGGAGAATTGATTGATGTAAGTCAAGGAAATTCTTCAGGATTTCGGGGTCGATTTGATGTCAAGAATGGATCAATATCAGAAGTGTACATTCTTGAACCTGGAACTAATTACTTGAATGACATTGCAAATCTCACCATTGTCTATTCTGGGACAGTTCTTCCTCAGGTTGGTTTCTTTTCGATTCTCAATCTTCTGATCATCATTTTTCAGTCTGGTTCAATTTCACAGATAGTCATCGTGTCGGGGGGTCAAAACTATTTGAATGGCACACTCGTTGCAGGTGATCCAATACAAGAAATCAGTCTCATAACTGACCTTTTCAAAAACTATCAGTTGGTGGAGAGGGAAGTGGATTTGCTGGTTCGTTTTCTGTGAATAATCAGGGTCAAATAAACAGGTAGAGATGCACTAGCATTTCATTTGTACTTTGTCACAAAGTTGTCTCCAGTATTTTGATTCGCAATCACGGAACTGGATACAAAACACCGCCCGTCATCTACTTTGGATACCTCAACAGCACACAGATACAGGTAAAATAAGCATCATTAAAACAAACAAACTTTTTTGCTTTAATGATGCTTATTTTTCTGAATAGGACGGTACTGTGACTGGCATCAAGATTGTTGAAGGAGGACAAAATTATATCGATGGAGAATTTCTGGGATTAGTGTCCAATAGTCTAGAAATAAGTGGAGTCTTCTACACGACAAGCGGCAAAATAGAAAGGTATCACAAAATGAATCCACAGCAACGTTCTGATCCTCGTTCATAGCGTTTTACTGAGTACTCGAGGGGCAAATTTGAGCGAGCTTAGCACAAACATTTCAGTAAGACTTCTCTTCCCGGGAAGTTTGACTGAACAGGTGATTGGATGAACGTCATTTCCTCAATTCGATTTGAAAAGTGTCTAGACCGGTGCTGTGACTCAAGTGATAATTGACAATGCTGGACAAAATTACATCGTTGGACCGTTGCAGTCAGATAGCTTAAATGGTTTTCTGGGCTATCCTGTGATTATCAATGGTACAGTGACACGGTGATTGAATTGTTGCTCTACTTGAAGTTTGAGGTAATGATCTTGTGATTAGGTTCACCATAATCAATCATGGAATTTATTTGCCTGTTGGGAATCATCTCTGTGACCTTTATTACAACGACTCAAATTCGTCTCAGGAACATTTTTGAGCATCTCAAGATTTTGTTTGATTTTGCTGTTTCAAGCAGTCAGGAAGCATAACTTCGGTTGCATTCTCAGCCATCAGCACAGAAGGTTGTTCAGACAACCACACGATCACTGCGTCTGGTGGGGGAGGCACCGGGTTTCTGGCAATATCCAGAGCTGTGCGTTTGACCTTGCATTGTCATGCATTGATTTTTTCTGACGGATATTTTTCAGTTGAACGGTAAAATCTATGCATTAGAGATTCAAAATCATGGTGCAGGATACACGACTACGCCCTTCCTAGTTTCAGATGATGCAACTTGTACTTGTAGGGGCGCACCAGCTTCAGTTCCTTCAAGGTCTATCCCTTGCTTTTCAAATTCAGTGTAATTGTCCTCCTCATTATCGCTGTGCAGATTGGACGATTGCATAGTGCCACGACTTGCAAGGTAAGAGGTAGACAAGTTTTGAGTGTAATTGAATTCCTGCATCCCAGCGGTTCCAGCTTTGTGTGCGCAGTTGCTGGAAACGCACAATTCGAAATTAGGGTCGCGAAATCTGGTCCAATGAAATTCACAATCTTTTTTTGAGTGACCACTCTTAGGTGTTGGAACGGCTACCATTCCTCATGGAGCTCAGATCTCGGCAAAGCATGGGTATGGTGGAAAATTGGTAAGTGAAATACCGATTATGTTGTTTTCTGCTCTGAATCTTCAAAATGAACAGGAGGTTCAATTGGGAAATTATTTCAAATCGAATGTCCCAGTTACTGGCACTGTCTCGATGTCTGTGACTGGTACAAACTTTGCACAAAATCAATTTTCAGGAGCGGGACAATCAAAGAGCACAGCTTTTGAGTCTACGCGTTGGGTTTCTGGTATGAAGAAAGGATTTGTGAATGACTTTTCTCTGAATTTTCCAAATTGCAGACTCGAATGTAAGGGTACAATTTGCTTCGGGAACAAAATCTACTACCTTGAGTGCAAGAATTTCAGTTGGAGTTGCGTCTGGCAGTGCAAGTCAACTCTATAGTTTTGATCGTTCAAGCAATGTCTGGATGGTGAATGGATCTGCCATAAACTTTCCTGTAGCGCTCAATTATGTGCTGAATGTATCATTGATAGCCAAGAACATGGGGCATTCGGACAGCTCGATTCGCATAGATTGGGGCCAGTCACAATGTCAGAGCACGGCGTGGATTTCAGAGACATCTGCAAGTTGCTTGCCGAGTAGCAGTATGTCCAGATCTTTGTCAATAATCTTGACAAGTTCCCATGTCGGCACGATCACACACCTTGTCTCTGTTGATGCTGGCGTCCTTAGTAACATAACCTCGAGTAATTCGCCAGTGACTGGAGCTCACGATGTACGATTGTTTGGATCTGGACTTTCACGATGGAATTTATCACCAGCATCAAGATTGTTTTCGACAGCTGCAGAGTTCACTCAATGGTACTCAGTTACATCGCTGATGTCACGAAGCAGTTCTGGTCTACAAGATTTTCCATTTTTGCATGTTATCCTCAGCATTGTATCATTGTCAGAATCTGTTTCAGACCTTTTCACATATGACAGTACAAGTCTCTCTACAATGAAGTATCCAAACAGTGCTGCAACTGGAACTCTAATTGTAGAAATATTTGGGTCTGGGTTTTCTGACTTTCAAATAAGCTTGAAAGCAGCTTTTCAAAAAACTGCCGCAGAATTCACGAATTGGAAATCCGATACCTCGGTTCACGCAAATGTCCCATCAGGGAAGCCACATTCTAGTTCCTTGACCATATCTTTGCAGTCGACTTCAACAACTTCTTCTTTGTTCTCATTCGATGTTGTCGTGCTTTCATCTGTTGGTCAAAACTGTGCTGTATCCGGTGCGCAGCAGTTGACTGTCTTTGCTGCTGGTTTAATTGCAAGAGATTCTTCTATCAGTCTTAGAATCGGCTCGAGCTCTTCTGAGTCATCATCGTGGTTTTCTGACACATCTTTGTCTTCAAAAGTTGCCAGCGGTTCAAAGAGTTCTCAATCGACACTCCTTACTGGTGCAATTATCGTTTCGTCTACAACCTCCCAAATGCTCACATACGATTTTTTTACAATATCACAAGTGTCAGGAAGCAATTCAAATTTCAATAACAGTCAGATTGTTCGTATCTATGGAACACACTTTGGGGACAAGAGTGGGTCTCCTCTTACAAGAATGCAGTACACTACATGTGACTACACGATTTGGGCATCTGACACCCTGATATCAACAAAACACGGTCCTGATTTGTCCCGAACAAGTCGCTTTGTATTAAGTATAGGATCTGTAATGAGCACACTGACTGAAGCGTTTTCGGCGGATGGATGGTCATTTAGCCTGATTCAAGAAAATTTGCCACTCTCTTCTTCTTTGCTTCATTCCATCATTCCAGGGTTGAGACGATCAAATTATTTCGGGACCGGTTCAATAAGGGTGGGATCAACGGGTTGTGAAAGTACCTCATGGGTTTCTTCGGAAGAAATCGTGTGCCGAGTCTCTGTTGGTGTTGGAAAAACGCTGCTGATATCTGTCTCTTGTGATGATGCTCGGGGAACAGTATCAGAGATTTCCTCTTACGACATCCCCGTAGTTTCCTCCGGCTTCCAATTGAATTCTGGTCCTGAACAACACATGCCTGTTAAATTCTTTGGTTTCGATTTGGGTCCTTACCCTAATTCTCCTCAGTTAAGAATCGGATGGTCGGCATGTGAATATTCAGATTGGAAGTCGACTACCAGTCTTCAGTGCAATGTCCACCATTCTGTAGGCAGGACCCTCAAACTGCATATAACTTCTTCATTCCTGCTTGGTACCTCAACGCAAATGTATTCGTTTGATCTGGTTACTGTTAGTTCCCAACGCACAAGCAACATTCCTGCAACAGGTTCCACCAGAATTACCTTCAGCGGGACGGAATTTGGACTTAGCTCCTACAGCATTTTTGCATCTGTTTTCACGGCGACGGAATTGACAGAATGGCATTCAATGTCATCGATTCAATGTAGACTTGGGCAGGGATCGAAAGGAAGCTCGCCCATTGTGCTAACAGTCTCAGCACAAGTAAGGACTGCTTCTCATGTACTTTCCTTTGATTCTCCGTTCCTCACTGCGGTGCTTTTGCAAAACTTGCCTGCTGAGTCTAGCTCAGTCGTCACGGTCTCTGGTGCAGATTTTCTTGCGACCCCCTTCTCATCATATCTTAGGGTTGGACAGACTACTGCCGAAGCATCTATCTGGAGCTCTGAGTCATCCCTTACATGTTTTATCTCAAGTTTTGGTTCGAACTCTCTGGCAATCATTGTCACTAGTTCACAAAGTACGTGTTCTACTTCAGAGGCGATGTCGTTCAATTCACCTTCAGTATCATTGGCATCTATGAACTCTCCTTCTTCTACATCAAAATCAATTGTTTTGGCGTTTGGTGACATGGTGAAAGCTGAACTTACGCTTGCAGCCCGATTAGGCCTCACTGCTGTGGAGGGAACAACATGGATCTCGCAATCATCTGTATTGTGTCATGCTTTGTCATCAACTAGGTTTTCATGGAGTGTTGTGATCACCACGTCAAGCTCGGTTGCATCAACCTCTCAGTTGTATTCTACTGATTACCCGATGTTAAGCGATTTGACATGTTCCAACGGCCCATCCACTGGTTCCATATCTATTACCACCAGTGGTACAAACATTGGAGCCGTTCCAGCAACATTCGGAATTCGCGCAGGATTTACTTCGTGTGAAGCGTCTGTCTGGCTTTCAGACACAAGCGTTTTATGTTTCCTTTCCTCTGGTGTGTTCAATTCTGCACACGTGTCTGTCTCAATCGCAAAAGCGACAGGCACTTTATCATCATCGTTCTCTGTTGATCTCTATCACGTTGAGGAGTCAGGTCAGAATGTCATTTTCATGAGCAGGTTTGTGGTTGTTGAATCAAAATCGCATTTGCATCCGATGACCGAAAGGGTGCGACTGGGTTTTTCAAATTGTGAATCAACGACCTGGAATACAGTGACTGCTATCAATTGCTATGCTCCAACTGGGATTCGTTCATCTTTAGAGTTGATGATGACATCCAGCATCCAAGTATCTACATCAACGAATTTAATATCTTACGATATTTTTGGAAACTTTTCAACAAATCAAAGCAATCATAAACAATCAAGTTCTATTTTCTTTCTCTATTCCCATGCAGAGTTTATCCTGGATCATAGTTTGTCTGTTACATTCGGAAGTACAGTCTGCGAGTCGTCCGTGTGGACTTCAGATACTGCAACTCTGTGTAGAATAGGCCAAGGTTTAGAGGGGAGCGCAAGAGTCGTGTTGACGTCAGGAAATCAAGCGGGGACATCAACCAGGATAGCTTCGTTCGATACACCTACTGCAAGCTCAGCACGGGCCGCAAACCAGCCTGCGACGGGACACCGCCGGCTCACTGTGCAGGGTCAAGGGCTCGGCTTGACCGAGAGGAGCGACAGGAGCAGGCTGGGGGAGACCGGGTGCGAGTCGTCCGTGTGGACTTCAGATACTGCAACTCTGTGTAGAATAGGCCAAGGTTTAGAGGGGAGCGCAAGAGTCGTGTTGACGTCAGGAAATCAAGCGGGGACATCAACCAGGATAGCTTCGTTCGATACACCTACTGCAAGCTCAGCACGGGCCGCAAACCAGCCTGCGACGGGACACCGCCGGCTCACTGTGCAGGGTCAAGGGCTCGGCTTGACCGAGAGGAGCGACAGGAGCAGGCTGGGGGAGACCGGGTGCGAGTCGTCCGTGTGGACATCGGACACAACGATTGCAATCGCATTTGGAATACAGCATACTTGGTCTCTTACGCTTATTTTCACTACCAATCAAATCGTAGGATCTCTCACGGAAAGCATTTCATATGATTTGCCGCTACATACCGGCATCGGGAGGGGAAATGCACCCACAACTGGATCGATTCTCCTTGTCGTAGACAGCAAGTCAACGTTGTTGCATGAATCAACAGCTTCTGTTAGAATTGGAATGAGCTCACTATCAAGTACGACGTGGCAATCAACTACTTCGGTCTTTTCCTTGACCACGGGTTCCATCAGCATAACTTTAAGTGTGATTGTCACAATTGCTCAAGTGGTGAGCTCTTCTTCTGCGGCGTTTTCCATTGACTCCCTCCGCACCAGTAGTCTTTTGAGAACAAATACCGCTTCTACAGGACAGACAAAAATTTCTTTGATTGGGACAAGTTTTGCGTTGTCTGACTACACAACGTCTGCAAGGAGTTTTACTTCTGCTGAAAGCACATCGTGGATTTCAGAAACATGCATCATGAGTGGGTTTGCATCAGGAGTGTCACATACATCGATTATTGTTCATACAATCGCCAGAATTTGTGGTACTGGATCAGAGCTACTGAGTTACAATGAAATTGACCTAAGCAGTGCAGCCACCAGCAATATGGCAACTACTGGTGCCGCAAGAATTTTGGTACATGGAGATTCCTTTGGGGCCACACAATTCTCATCCTCTGCGGCCATTGGTGGGATTGGACTTTCAGTATGTGAAAGCACAATATGGACAGCTGATTCATGCCTAATTTGCAAATCCATGCCCGGTCATTCGCAAAGTGCAAGAATATCGGTATCTACGTTCAGAAATTCGGGATCATTGTCATCAGCAATTTCTTTTGACAGTCAAGGGTTTTCTACAGTGAATCCCAGCAACCTCCCTACGACTGGAGCTAGGATGTTTTGGTTGAAGCTGGGAGTCCTTCGAGACGTTGAAACAACTTCGTCAAAGCTAAGAATTGGTTCAACTTCAACAGAATCTTCGACTTGGATCTCAACAACAGCAATGCTCTGTGGATCCTCAAAAGGTATTGCAAATTCTCAAACAATTGCATTGACAACATCGCTTCTATCTGTTTCGACCACTGAGATACTCTCTTATGATGGAATCATAGTGTCAAGCCTACAACTACAAAATCGTCCGATTCCAAATCAATCCCATATCACTATCCATGGAGACAATTTCCAGGCAGCAACAGAAGCAAGCCTGCGAACAAGATTCGCAAATACACATATCGAGGAGACAACATGGAAAAGCGAAACCAGTATACATTGCAAAATTCAACAACATCCAACAGCAACTAGTCAGATAATCATGACAACAGCACCAGGGGTCCAGGCAACAATTACAGAAACATGGACGGCAGGGGCCGGGGCCGGGATCAGCGTAGGGACGGGGTCGAACAAGGGAGGCGGGGGCACGGGGTCGACGAGCGTGACGGTACAGGGAGGGGGGCTAGGGGGACGGTCGGGGTACACGGGGGCGGTACGGGCGGGAGGGACCGGGTGGCGGAGGGGACGGAGGTGGGGAGGTCGGGAGGACGGTCGGTGCGGGTGGTCGGGGAGGGTCAGGGGTCGGGGCGACGGGGCGGGTAGGGCGTGGAC